TCGAAGAACCCTCTTTGGCTATGGTGGCGGTGGTAAAATGTCAACTGATAAGTAATTTCGTCAGCGAAAAGGCCACCAAAAATCCGACCAGCAAACGTGCCGACCGTATCACCACGGAAGGCGGTCAGGTGTGTTATCTTGTGGACAAAATGTAATTTAACTGGAGACTTACCACCTGCTGTCTAAGTGACGAGTCCAGGAGGGAGGTTGTTAACTCCTCCATCTCACATACGGTTCGCGTGTGTTGGTACATGGGTCCCGTATTTGTGGTGGATGTTTGATCAGAACTCGCACTGCCCGCGGCCGCGGTAAGCCTTCCCGATAAAAGATTGCATCTTATGTGCATTCTTTTCACGCTACGCGTCAACCGAACTTGGTGCTGGGCAACCTCCTGTTGGCGTCGCTTTACTTTTGCTACGCTGCGGGTTTACCCCCTAAGGCTGCCCATTATCCAATCAAGGGCAACATTTTGGGTGGTCGATGCCTGACGAGTTGCCCTATGCGGGCGTGTTCGACGAAGGCAATGGGTACCACTGCCTAGGAAAAATATGTTTAATTGGTCCATTGTAACCCGCATGCGAAGGCGACGTATCACTGAGCAATTTCCTCCTGGAGTCACTGTGTTGGTGATGAATCCGCTGCATGCTGCTTCCTAAGAAGAAAAAGTGAAATATGTCCATTATTACCCGCATGGGGTGGCGACGTGGCAATGCCAAAGGCACGCTGGTATCACTGTGGGAGGTAGCAGGTTCCTAAAAGTGAATGAAAGTGTTCAACAGTCAAACATACCGAAGCTGAATTAAGCGAGGGTACGCCCCTTACGGATATGTCCTCATCCAGCGGCTCTCTTAATATCCGTTTAGGACGCTGGCTATTATTGGTCCTTTGACTGTCGGACATAGTAGGCTACAACCTAACAGGAAAAGTAAGAGAAAGGGGACTTTAAGCCATTTTTATACTTAACTGTCTCTCCTCACTACCCACAAATCAATAGCTCTGGGACTGTTGGGTTGTAAGATTCGTAGATAGCGACCGATAAATGCGAGACGTACAATGAATCGTAAGCATTTGCCGAGAAAGATGAGGAAAAGTTACCCTCCGACCCAGTCACCAAAATGAACTAAGTGCCTTGCGGGGCAACGACAAACCACAAAAATATGTAATGCTACCAGTCATCGTAGTCCCATCGTCCGTTAATTTCAAATAGGACGAAGTCATCGTCGACGAGGAAGCACGCGTACTTGCGGATGAGGGACGGAAATGTACAGGACTTGATTGCCGTCCCCATTCAAGCTTTATAAACTTTAAAATGTTTTGAGTTTTGTGGATAATCGAAAAAGTCCTCAACTTTCTC